AGAAATTGGTTTTAACAACAATACCATTGTTGAGATCTCACAAATGCGCAGTAGTCCATCCCTGCCAACTGTTGCCAGCCAGCTTTGATGTGGGGAGAGCTGTAGAAAAGCAGGACTCTGTAAATGGCCCCCTGCCTCCTTCTCTAGGATCAGGTGAACTGCTTCCTGTGCATTAGATGGCTTTACTCCACTCTGCATATCACAGGAGAAGCAGTTAGGAGCAGTGCCAAAAACACAAAATAATCAGACTATAGGTGTTGTCTCTTCTTATACCACCTCAGGGATACGGAAACTTTGCAAAACTTTTCTCTGTTGGCAGTAACCAAATATCTTGTTTATGGCCAGGACACAAGAGCAGAGAGCGTGAGGGATCTCATATAGGCAGCTGTGCAGGGCATCTTTACACAGACAGCCATAGACATCCACACAACCTGACGAGTCTGGAAGTGGGACAACATTATAAGAAGGAGTGCTGGAATTTTTGAATGTCTATCATTTGTCCTCCTGTTTTAGAGAAGCTTTCTGCATGCCAGCCTCAATTATGGTGTGTTTTTGTGTTTTCCTGATACCTGTAAGCTGTTGCACAAACAAAGTCAGTAGCAGAAGCACATTTCCCTCATTGATTTCTCTCTCTGTCTTGCTGCATAGCACCAGCACTTTAACCTGTTTACTTTCCGTGTAGTACTGAGTGGAGAGGTTTACAATGGCACCTGGAGCCTCTGGAAGAAAGTAAAAGGACTTTTTTAGAAAATTACATTAAACTTTAGGCATAAAATGTAAATATGACACAGTTCAAAAGTTTGGGGTGGTAAGATTTTTGAATGTTTTTTAAAGAACCCTCTTAATCACCAATTATTTTATCATGTGATCAAAAATATAGTAAAACAGTAACATAGTGAAATATTATTAAAATCAAGAACCTTTTAATTATTATCAGTGCTGCTTTTTTGTGGAATTCATGATGTATTTTTTTTCAGGATTCTTTGATAAATCAATTCAATAGAACAGAATTTATTTGAAATAGAAATTTAATTAATGTCACCTTTGATCAATTTAAAGTATCCTCGTTGAATAAAAGTAAGCATTTATTTAAAAAAGAAAATAGAGAGAATTGAATAGTAATGTCGTTCTGAGAATTACCAATCCATCCAATAATTTCAAATCCTTTTGATGGCCTTGCGTCCAGCACAAACATGCGTGAGTCTGATGCTCCTGTGATTAAGAAGTTGCCACCTTGATCAAACCTGTTAAACAAATATAACATACAGTATTCTCAACATTCAGTTCACAATGCCCCAATTCACAAGAAATATGATAGCAAATAATCACGGTGCTGTGAAACTCACACCAAATGGTCTACAGGGACATGGTAGAGATGAACTCTGTGAACTAGTCTGGGTTTTTGTTTTGTGGTCATTTCCACAAACAGAACGTCTCCAGAGGCTGTTCCTACAACAACATACTGTGCTATGGGGCAGCATGCCACACTGGTTACCTGAAGTAAAGTCATATCAAATAACACAGATTTAAGTAGAGCAAACTTATTCACCTGATTTGGGAAAAATGATTACTGTGAGGTCGTACAGAATCCCTAATTATAGCACTAACATGTATTTGCAGAGAGATGGAGCCCATGCAAAGTCCATCATCCAGGGCCCACAGCTGTACGTCTCCTGTTTCTCTGACTGACTGCAACAATGAAGATACAGATGCCTTATTATTTTCAATAATATATCTATATATTGTATTTTAATATTTATATTGTAATACTACACTATTATAATATGTATCAGTATATTTATTGTGATTAATTAACCAATTGACACCACATGCTCTTTTACCAAACAAATGCTTCTGTCAGTGTATAATGGAGCAACAGCCACAAAATCTCCACAGAGTACATCCAGAACTTTGACAATGTTATCATTCAGTAGTGGTTTCAATCTGTAAACACAGCCCTATGAAGCAAAACCGAAATTTATTAACTGTTTCTCAGCATTGTCTTTATTGTATTGTGTTGCATTATAAGAATTTTGTGAGTTTTTATCATGACATTTTTAAATAAAATATTAATTAGATATTATATTCATATAATGTATATTATAACAGAACTGTTTTACATTAATATTATTTTAACACGAATCATAAAAAATACACTAACATCATAAAATATAAACACTTACTGTATTAGAAACTATCAGCAGTGTCTCACCATCGGGGGGACAGCATATAGACGAGGCTGCCTCATTCAAAGCCCAAGTCTGCACTACCTCCAATTTGTTTCCTTTAATTTGTATGTTTCGTAAAATGCCTTCCTGTAATAGGTTTGGAAATGCTCTTGAATTGAGCTAAAATTATGTCTCACTTGAAAACAGATTAATGTGTAGTTTCAGGGCTCATATTAGTGTCATGACAAATACAATTTCTTACCATTCCTGCAGCAAAAACATTACAGTCTTGTATTACTAAGCTCTGGAAGCTGCCTTCCTGCAGGGATGTTTTACTGTCATCTGTGATGTAAAATTACAACAAATGCAATCAAATGAAGCTCTCAAGAAGACAAGGAACTACATTAAGTCTAAAATTCATACTAGTTAAAAATTGACATGTGAAATCCTCAAATGTTCTGATTTGATATGTATCAAGAATGAGTTTACCTGTGGGATTTAATTCAGTTTGAGGTTTATATAGGACAGAGACAAGCAAAGTGTCAGGATCCACACAAAGCAGGAAACCTTCCTTGGAACCAACATATAGGTCAGAAGAAGTTGACCAGCAGATGGCACTTGGACACAGTTTTGGTTTTATTTGTTTCAAAGGCTGTTGGGACAGACAAATTCTATTATGCTGTGACTCTGACAAAAAATAAAGTGTTACTTCAGGAGAACTACTGATATATAAGAAAATACTCTACTGGAGAAACAACCCATACCACAAAATCGTCAGCTCTGTCTCCACTCAGTCCAGCGATTGCTGAAATGGGCATCTGAGGACCTAAGTGTGTCAACTTCCTACTGAGCATACAAGACAGGTTTGCTTCACACTCAATAACTGCACCATCGGCGGCGGGGAGATCGACAGCACTGCCAAGAAAACATAAAGAAAGGATAATGGGTCAAATAAACACTGTCCGTGCATTAATCCTAATGTTGGCATATGAAATCCATGTGTAAATAACAGTGACATCTGCTGGAGAGACACTCTACCTAGGCTTCATCAAATGATAGTTGTCACATCTTTCAACATTCCAGATAGTAAGGGACCTCAAATTTACAGCACCAATTTGACACCAGTTCATGGGGTTAAAAACCAATGCTGTGACGTCCTCTCCCAAGAGTGGATGGCTACAAAGGAGAACGCTGCTCTCCCAGTTCCTAAATAGTGGATATTAAAATATTATATTAAAAAAGGAAAAATATAAATAATTGCTGTAGCAAACATCAGACTAATATAAAACATGCATTTTACCATAATGAGATGGTGTGATCAGGCATGGAGGAAGCACAGACTAAATAAGGGCCAGTGTCACACAGTGCCAAAGCTGTATAGCCTAGTTTAGTTGTGCCTAAAAACATGAAAAAGCACTAAAAGTGTAACTTTTATACATTTATAAAAGTTTGTGTGCACTAAAACAGTTTAAGAGCAACTACAGTCAGCTATAGTGGCTTGTTGTTCAAGGAAATATATAAAAAAATTGACTCACCTTTCAGTTTACACACCTGCTCAAGCTCTGGATAGTTGTAGACAAAGATGGAAGGATTGAGTTTGAGGTCAGAGAAGGCAAGACACCTGCGATGCCCACTGGCTGTAAAGGCCCCAATACCAGAACCAGGACTCTGCAGAGTCTTCCTCGACTTAGTTTCCATATTGAGGAAAACAATAAAGTTCCCACAGGTGTAGCATGTTGTTTTCTTGTCGACAAATCTAAATGTGCCATTGTTGAATCCTTGCACCCACCTTTCACATAGTAATAAAAATAAAAGTAGCATTATTTACTATTTATGTTACTTTGTATGAACTCTTATCTTTGCATTGAATACATTATTCGTTCATATCTTATTTATTTTTATATAGTTTGTGTTTTTTAAAGTTGATTTTCTCTTCTTTTTTGATTTTGAGATTAAAATGTTTAAAATGCATTTACTTTATAACACCCGCAGTATTTCCAGTGTGCGCTGTATACACGAGAGTGTTTTCTGCTCAATGCTAGGTAGCTAGCTAGCTATGATACTGATGCAGAACTTGTTTTTGTTTTTCAAGACAGGATAACTTTACAGGCTCCAAATTAATGATCAGCTATGGAAACAATGTTAAAGATTGTCCAAGTTTTCTTAAAGATATGATTCGTAACTCACCGAACTTCCAAGTTTCCCAGCACATCCATTTCAATCCGTCAGCTCACCCTCTGAGCGTGCGTCTGTTTCCATAGCAACCCATAGCACGCGGACTCGAGTAACAAACATTTCATGTTGATTATAGTATCAATTATATTCCTTTTATTTGTTTTAAGTTTATGCTACACATAAGAAACATAATATATTATGTTATAATATTATCATCATAATATTATATGATAATAATATAATCATAATATTATAAACCTTTATAATAAACATCATATAACAACATATCGTACACATCATATATGTATGGTACCTATAACACATCGTACATATATTACCAAAGATATTATATTGCTTCTATGCTCTTTGATATTACACACACATTATTTTTTTTATAATTTTGTTTTATTAATGTTATTAGGTAGTTTCAACGATTAGATGAGAACATTTTTATAAATATCTTTACAAACGAGACGAATACAATATTATTGTTATTATTATTATTATTAATAATAATAATAATAATAATAATAATAATAATAATTACTATTATTATTATTATTAATTGGCTAATATTTAGGTTGTTTAATTTAACGACTTGTTTGTGTCATTTTATCCTAGCAGCAAAGCTGTATCCTACTGGTGACTTTTATTTTGAAAGTGTGTTTGAGGTGGATTTTGAAAGGGAAATCAGTATCGGATTCACAAAGCGCTTCAGTGGGAACCTTTCAAATCTACAATGTTGGGCACGGCGTCGTGAGTAATCAAGTAATGTCCTGCAAAAGCGAAAGGACAGCATTGTCCATTAACTAAGTGAATGATCGGTAAATGCCTCCTGCGGCTACAATTAGCCCCTCGTATATGTCGTTTAACTTGACAGAAGGTCGTTTTGCCACAAGGTTTGATTGCATTTCAAATAATTAGCTTAGTTAGCCAGCCGCGGGCGTTAGTTAGCTTAAATCTAGTCTTGTGAGTGCTGTGATGGCTTCTGCAGTGTCTAGATCACGTAACGGTTGTTTTAGCGTGTGTAACGTTAACGTTACCGACAGATTACGCTCATTCATATCAGTTCGTGCCATGTATAGTAAGTTAATACGTGCGAGTCAGCACTTCATTTGAGGAAGTAGCTAACGTTAGCCTACATAGCGAGGACAGGGAATGGAGAGGCTGTGTTATAAAAAGCCACTGAGTTCCCTATCTAGACAGCACCATCTGCGCATTCGAACAAAAAGCTGTGCTTGTGCTGCTGCTGTCTTTCTAGGCAGCTCCCTAGGTGTTGAAACAGAGCCAGACTGCAATTCCTGGTCACTGGCATGACAGCCTTATGATTAATACTCGTTTCCCTAAAATAGCTAAAGAGGGTCATGCAGCTCTCACATGTACGATGTTGCCACACGAATGTATTTGTATATATTTGTATTGTACATTTGCATTTGGCAACATTACTTCCGTGTGTGGTGGGCTGTGGGTGGGTCTAATGGACTTTGAAAACCTGTCATCTCAGTTTGCTGTGCAGCTCTCCAGAGATTATTTATGTGTGTGTGTGGGATCAGTTGTGGGAGGTTATGCAGCACAGGCTGATCTGCTTACATGTTTGCAATCAGGGCCCTTGCTTGTGTTCTACTTCTAAGCTGATCTTTTGTCGCCCAAACTGAGTGTTTTTTTCCTCTAAGGATCAGGCTTTCCCTTTTGCAAACTTGTCTCTCCGCAGGTGAGTGCAGGCTAAATGATAATGGCACATGTTGGGGCAGTAGTCGCAGCAATGGCTGGTGTGATGGCCATTCTGCTTCATTCTTCCATACACAAGATCGAGGAAGGACATTTAGCTGTGTATTACAGGTGAGTGTAAGGAAGTAGCATTGAAAATATGCACAGATTTTATGCTGCTTATGTTAATAATTAATAAAATGCCTGTAATATAGTTGAAGTTTGGTGGAAAGGCTTGATCAGTTAACATTGTATGTTTACAGCTTTTCATTAAAGGCATAGTTGATCCAAAAAAGAAAATTTTTGTTTGCCCAAGCCTGTATTTTTTCCTTTTTTTCTTCTGTTGAACATAAAGTAATATTTTAAGAAAAAGATTAAAGAGAAACTTTTTTTGTCACCAAAACTATCTGATTATCAACATTCTTTAAAATATTTTCCTTTGTGTTCCATAGAACAATGAAAACCATACAGGTTTGAAATGACATGATGTTGAGTAAATTATAACAGAATTTTCATTTTTGGGTCAACTGTCTCTAGGTAACTTCACAGCTTCTTTATAGCAATAGTTGTTGTAATATTTCTACACAAATGAAATTGATGACATATTTATCATTCATATAATTAATTTGCTTCCTAATTCTGGTTCATGCCCCCCCCCTTTTTCAGAGGAGGAGCTTTGTTGACAACTCCTAATGGGCCGGGTTACCATATAATGCTGCCTTTCATCACTTCATATAGATCAGTGCAGGTACAAATGTCATGTATTTACAGTTGGCCAGATAAAAAATTAATTCTTGTTTTATTACAGCTGTACACATTGCATATAATTTATTATGATCTTTTTCTACAACTTTTGGGACATGAGTGGATTTTTGAGGTTGTTGAATATTTTGGATTTACATTTATGCATTTAGCATAAGTTTTTATTAGAAAGTTAGAAAGGAAACCAAGCTAGAATATTGTTAAAGATGCTGATTTTTTTTGTCACGTTTGCATTATGTTTCTAGACAACCCTGCAAACAGATGAAATAAAAAATGTGCCTTGTGGAACCAGGTAATCCTTTGTGTTGTTGTTATTCCATCAATATGTCCTGAAAACTGCTTAAAATTGGTCATGATTAAATTGTACTGGATATTTTCTGGGCCTCCTGAATGAAAATAATAATTTCTTTGTCTTCCAAAGTGGGGGTGTCATGATCTATTTTGACAGAATTGAGGTGGTCAACATGCTGGTTCCATTAGCAGGTAAGAGCCTTAAAGGGATAGTTCACCCAAAAATAAAGGTTCTGTCATCATTTACTCGTCCTCAAGCCTTCTTCAAACCTGTATGACTAACCGTCTTCAGTGGAAGGAAAAATGAGATGTTAGACTTTATGACAAAACAAGGACATGCTCTTGTTCTCTTCCTCCACAGTGGTGGACATAGTGAAGAACTACACTGCAGATTATGACAAGACACTAATCTTCAACAAAATTCACCATGAGTTAAACCAGTTCTGCAGTGTGCACACACTACAGGAAGTCTACATAGAACTGTTCGGTAAGTCACTGATATGTCAAACAGTTTATTCAGCCAAGTATACTGTGAACTTTCAGTTGTTTATTTGAGTGCTGCAGTTTCTGCTGTGTCATTAGTTTTGTCTTTGGTGCCCTCTCACTGCAAGAACATTTGTCATGGACTTGCATTTGTGTCGTTTTTGTTTGACAGACATAATTGATGAGAACTTAAAGACTGCACTGCAGAAGGACTTGAATGCTATGGCTCCTGGCCTCACAATTCAGGTATGGCTTTTATCTCTATGGTTTTGACTCTGTGGTTTCAGTTTTGACTTGAGCAGGATTCGATGATTCCATAATATTTTGCAGGCTGTGCGAGTCACCAAACCTAAAATTCCTGAGGCAATCAGAAGAAACTATGAGCTAATGTGAGTGAATATATTTTTCTGTACAATTTGATTGGATGTCATAGTTTATCTCCATATTGTTTTTTTGTATAAATTAAAATGTTAGTTATTTTTTTTAAAGGCTTGAGCAGTTTTAAGCATTTTTTTTTACTCTTGTTGATCTTTAAAAATTATATAGTGACATTTAATATACACTACTGTTCAAAAGTTTGGGGTTGGTAAGATTTTAAAATGTTTTTGTCTTCTAAAGTCTTTTACTCTCACCAAAACCACATTTATTTCAAACACACAGTAGAAACAGTAATACTGTGAAATATTATTACAATTGTTTTCTAATTAAATACATTTTAAAATGTAATTTATTCCTGTGATGGCAAAGCTGAATTTTCAGCGGCCATTACGTCAGTCTTCAGTGCGTTTCCATTACAGATTTGCGCAAAACTTGGCGATATTTTATAAATGTCGATAAAAAAGTATTGCGAAATGACGGCGTTTCCATTAACCAATGTTATGCGACTAAAACGTAACCTTTTGCCTCTCGGTTTTTTTTTTTTAGATTTTGCTGAAAAATAGAAAGTTCAGAAGAACAGAATTTATTTGAAATAATCTTTTCTAACATTATAAATTGTCCTTGGATACATCTGTCTATGGTTTTAATCAAAATTTCCCTTGCTTTCATCATCTGCAGGGAAGCGGAGAAGACCAGGCTGCTCATCACTGCTCAGACACAGAAAGTGGTGGAGAAGGAGGCGGAAACTGAGAGAAAGAAGGCCATCATAGGTGAGTCTACATTTCCAAATATAGTGCTGATCATGTATAGAGTCATGGTTTGTCCTTATTCATTTTATGTGTTGCTCTCATTGCAGAGGCTCAGAAAATGGCTCAGGTGGCGGAGATTCACTTCCAACAAAAAGTAATGGAGAAGGAAACAGAGAAAAAGATCTCCGAAATTGAAGGTCTGGTTTATCTACTGAGAATTTTCATAGCACGTGCCACGCAGAGTGTGTTGCTCATCAGTCACATTTATTTGATTGTAACAGATTCTGCTTTCCTGGCAAGAGAGAAGGCAAGAGCAGATGCAGAATATTACACTGCTGCAAAATTTGCAGAAGCCAACAGGGTAAAAACAACAACAACGAAACAACTTTTTACTTTTCACATTTTTGTGTTGCTAATGTATTTTTTTAACCATTTAATTTTAAGAAAATATGAAATATTGGTGTAAGACTCAATACTCAACATTCAATACTTTATTGATGTAACTTTTTAGAGAAATCCTTGGAAGAGCCAGTTTTTAGTTTTTAAAAAAATTTAAAAATGTTATTAGGGGCATTTAAAAAATGTTAAACCAACCGGTTTAAAGGAATGGTTCACCCAAAAATGAAATTTGGGTGAAAATGTACTCGGCCTCAGGCCATCTAAGATTTAGATGAGTTTGTTTCTTTATCAGAACAGATTTGGAGAAATTTAGCATGACATCACCAGCTCATCATTGCATCCGCTGCAGTGAATGGGTGCCGTCAGGATGAGAGTCCAAATAGCTGATATAAACATCACAATAATCCACAAGTAACCCACACCACTCCAGTTCATCAGTTAATGTCTTGTGAAGTGAAAAGCTGTGTGTTAGTAATAAACTAATTCATCATTAAGATGTTTTTAACTTCAAACGGTTGCTTCTAGCTAAAATAATGCTAAATTTCCCCAAATCTGTTTTAATGAAAACCTACATCTTACCTCCATCTTGGATGGTCTGAGGGAAATTACATTTTAAGCAAAATGTAATTTAGCATTTTTGGCTGAACTATTCCTAAATCACAGACTGGTTTAAAGGGATAGTTCACATTCAGTTGCTGGTCCCCATTGACTTGCATAGTGTTTTTCCCCCTATACTATGGAAGTCAGTTGGGACCAGCAACTGAAGGTAAACTATCCCTTTAACAGTAAGTTTGTTAACTTTTAGTGCATATCTGTACAATCTATTCTGTACAAAAACACATAATAAAGTATATTTTGTGTGAAATATTTTCACACTTTTCAGCTTACCCAAAGCTTAAATATCCTTTAACCTCAACTATATTAAGTAAGTGCCTGTAGGAGGCTCTAGCTGTTGTCATAGTGGTACTAGTGTCCACTCTGAACACATGGAGGCACACTGACACATTTCTTCAGCAGAGATGATTCCACACAGGATGTGCTCATGTCATTTATCACACCACTGTCTCCCTCCTCCACAGCTGAAGCTCACACCGGAGTATCTGGAACTGATGAAATATCAGGCCATAGCCGCGAACAGCAAGATCTACTTCGGTCAAGACATCCCAAACATGTTTGTAGACAACAGTGCCTCCCATCCGACCGCGGGCCAGGGTGCGGCAGACTCGGCAGAGCAGCTGGAGGCCTTGAGTATGAAAGAGAGTCTTAAGAAAGCGTCCAAGCCCAAAGCCACAGAAGGCCACTGAGGGGCCTGAGAGCTGTCCACCCCTCTCTTTCTCTGTTTTCTCTTTCTCTCTCTTTCTCTAGGTGCTTGTGAGGCATGCTGACATGAATACTTTTCACTCTTCTTCTGTAGTGGGGTTGGGTGCTTGGCTAACTGTGCTGCGAGACTGACACACAGAGCCTGTGGTTTTCCAGCAGTCACTTGTGGACTAAAAAGGAATGTCCAGGAACTGTGCTACTGAATATTGCCAGGTCGAATTGATGCGATCCAAATCCCCTCCCTGACTCACATCAGCGTGCTTTTTCCCCTTTTTTTGCTCTCAACTTTTGCTTATGTTTCACAAATCCATGCAAATTATTTGTCAGATTGCTGATGCATCTATGTGAAGTATGTGAACATTTCAAGGTTTACCTTTATGTGTTGTCTTTTACATAACTGGAATTATAAGGCATCACACTAATTGAGATCAAAGGCAATGGCCGATACAGCTACAATCCGATAAAACTCATTTTGTAGCCAAAATTTGTCATCTACATTTACTTCATATGTTGTTGAAGGGGTACTTCACCCTAAAGTTTCTGTCATTATTTATTCACCCTCATGTCATTTCAAACCTCTATGGCTATCTTTCTTCTGTGGAGTATATAAAAAAAAAAAAAGATATTTTTTATAAATGTCTTTTTTTTTTGTCCATACAATAAGTCAATGGGATCCAGTGTTGTACCTCCCTTGGACCCCATAAACTTTCAATATATGGACAAAAACTTTATTGTTCTACTGAAGAAAGAGAGTCATGCAGGTTTGGGACAACGTGAGGGTAAGTATCTGATAACAGAATTTTAATTTTTAGGTAAACCATCCCTGTAGAAAAGTCCTCATTTCCATCATCACTAACTTTATTATAATCACTAAAATCTTAATTTAGTCCAGCCACAACTGCAGAGATCAGTGGCTTTTACATGTGTATGTAAGAATCAGTTTGTTTTAAAATCATCCCTGCTTGTTTCTTGTTGATCTTTGGTTGAGAATTTTGACACCTGAATACTTTGGTGTGAATTTAATTTAATATAATGTCAGAAATAGTGGGTTTGGTATAGTGTTGTGTAGTGTGTTAGTGTGTTGGTGCCCTGTGCCTGTTTTTGAATTGTTGGTTCTTAGAAGGTGTCACACTGAACATGGGTATGTGGCTTTCATAAAGTTTCATAAGATGTTAAAGGTTTGATCCAGGGCTCCAGCCTTTGAAAAGCTTTGAGATGGACGGCTAATGGATTCTGTATAGTTGAGTCTGTTCCTTTATGACTGAAAATGCCTTTATGACTTTAGTTAAACTTGCTTGTTTTGTCATTACTGGAAGGAGTTTATTTCAAAGGGAATTCAGTAAGAGTAAGGGCTGCTGTATTATTAGGCACTATTGTTTTTTTTTTTAGCTTTGATGAGTGAATGCATTAATGATCAGACTGGGTGCCAGATGATCATTTTCTGAAGCCTCAAAAACTTAATCAAAGTCACCACTAGGGGAAGCCGGTGCTCTTCAAGAATCAAACTGGGCAACAAAGACCTACATGACTCAAAATCATCTAAATCAATAATGATAATAATGCATTAAATCAAACCATCCAAACAAGGCTTTGAATAGTGTCTACTAGTACTATCTCTCAGGAAAACAGACTTGAATGACCTGGATTTTTTTTTGTACCCTACATCAAACATATATAAGTTGTAAGGTCAGATACAAGGTCATGTTGTCTGTGTAAATCTGTCACACAGCACATAGTCTTACATCCTCTACATACTTTTCCATTAAAGAGACAAGCATTCATTTAATGCAGTTAGTCTGGCTTCTCCCATTTCACCTTAAAATGGACTTTTATTGTTTTCCTTCAGGGTGTAAGTTTAATTGTCTCAAAAGCTTTGAAGCAATTCTCAAAAAAGATTTTTCTGTTCATATGACCCCTGTGATTCTTATGACTGATTAAATGAGAGAGGACAGAACTTGACTGCCCTGGAATAAACCCACTCTGTGAATGTCACTTTTTTTTATGTCATCATAATTTAAGCTCCTAATTTTAAAACATTTATACGCAAAATTTATAACATTTTGACAATGTTCAGTTCTGTGAAATAAAACCTATTTTGATACCATGAAAATGACAGTTTTCTTGGTGTTGCAGTTGTGTGATCATACATTAAGGACGTTTCACAAAGGTTAGTGTCATAGATTGAGTCATGAATTAAATGTGCTTAGTTTAATATATTTCCCAGAAATTAGGAATAGGAACTAGATCTTGCGCATGTAAGAACTATATTTTAAAATCTAAAGCATAAGTGCATGCAAAGCTTGCCACCATGGGTATTCAAGGTGCCACTCTTATTCTAATATTCAGATCTTCAGATGTGACTTTGGTTGCTCCTGAAATGTATGTTTATGGGATTTTCACCTGTTTTTAAAGCAGAATGATATATGATTACATGCTAAAATGTAATAGGAGATGATTTGATGTATAGAGTATAGACTGTGTTTAAATCTCTAACCTGATGACAAAGAGAAAAAAGGTCCATGTTGACATTAAAAACAAGAGCATTTGTTACTCTTGTATTCAATCTTACATTGAGTGTTTTGGGAATAATCTGATAGCCAGTTATTCTCCAAAAATAACTGAACAATGCCAACAAGCAGTTATGACCCATATAGTCCTGTTTGCTTTGCAAATAAACTCAGAGTGTCTCAGTCAGTGGTATTTGTCCAAGTCCAGGAAATGTCAAAAACTCTCATCGCCAAGTAACAAATTAGCCTGCTTCAACTTTTTGATGCAGGACTCAGACTTTCTAACAGTACATAAGTGGAAGAAGGACAAAGGAAGGAAACAGTCACTCCAGGAAGTGGGCAAAAAGGTCTATGTCTCCAGCTGACCTTAAAGAGAGAACAGAAGCTTGAGCTCCCCCAGGAACTCCTGGGTAAATATCAACCATTCAGATCTGGTCACCAGACCGAGTCAATCCCCAGACACAGAGTACATTTCCTGTTCCTGACAGTGAATTTAGCATGAAGACTTATAGATTGGATAAAAGGCATGCTGTTTCTTCAATTAAAGTGTCTAATTTAGAACATGAGTCTAATATTTAAGGTTAAAATGTGCTTGTGTGTCCAGGATGTACCACATATTTCCTTCCTCCACTACTCATCAATGATATATAGGAAGTGGCTCCACCAAAACTAAAGGCGGGAGGTGAAAGAGACCAACAATATTTTGGATTGTGGTAGATTTGTCAGGCCAACATGATTGCAGATTCCATTAAGTCTTATTTGATTTAAACATTGTTTACTCATGAAATGAACATTTTTATTAACTGAACAGAACTGACTCTAAAGTCAAGTTAAACAAAGTTCACCGGACAGCAAGATTTTAATGACTCCCAAATGACTTCTACAGGATACATCACTTACACAGTCTTACTCAGCACAGGGATGCTGGCCAACTTTTCTTTCCATAGTTCACTGAAATGGAATGAAAATAAGCCACGTGCACTGTTAGATGAAATATCCACTAAACCCTTTTATTTATTTGTACTAGAAAAACTAGGCCATCAGCCTAACAGGACACATACCAGTAGAACATTTGTTTTCTTCTGTTTTTGTAGAGCTGATGGCAAATGTGTGACCTGCCTACAACCATTGCAGGAAGGGCAGTGCCCAGGTTTTGTAGCTGTTTGGAAGGACTCTGGTAAGACTGTTTCCATGACAACTATGATGAGATTTATGAATTACTAGCAGCAGCCTGAACAATTGTGTTCTGTGTTCAGTCTGGCTCATCGCCCTGCTCCGTCCCCTGAAGCGCCGTGCTGCCGGAATTTACCAGGGAGTCATGGGGCAGCGTCTGTAAGGACATGATAGATGATAAGCCTGGCTTCTCTCAACCAGCTCTGATTAGCACAATAATGCAGGCCAGTCTAAGGGGATTTCTACAAGCTCAAATCTGATTTTGTGACACATGACGTTGTGGTTTTAACAGAATAGATATAGCAAACTGTAGACAGCATGTGAATTGAAATAAATCTGACTGGTTATGAACATTTATTATGCATCATATACACATATAGTACTATTCAAAATTTTGGGGTCAGTACTATTTTATGGAATTAATACTTTTCTTTAGCAAGGATGCATTAAATTGAATTAAGATCACAGTAAAATCATTTATAATGTATATACAATTTCTATTTTTTATCTTTTAAACTTTCTATTCATCAAAAAATCCTAAAAGAAGTCTTAAAAATATTAAGCAGCACAACTGTTTCTAACACTGATAATAATAATAAATGTCTATTTAGTGCCATATCAGCATATTAGAATGATCTAACTTCTTAAAAACTTTTATTTATGAAAACTTCCACCTCAGCAAAATCCATTATTTGGCTAAAACCATGAGAAAAGCAATACAAGCCCATTGCAGTTTTGTTACAGAGGTTGTATGAGTCAATGATTCAGAAAATATAGCTAATATTAGAGAGATTTCTGAAGGATCATATGAGACTGACGACTGGAATAATGACTGCTGCAAATTCAGCTTTGCCATTTCTTGCCAAAATCAGTTTTTACTTGTATCTGGCATTTGGCAAGTGTTAATGTGCATATATGTGTGTGCTTCTCTTATCTTGCCAAGGGAAGGAACCGTTATCTTACTGCTTGCACAACCCTTTACTCATACTGACTCAGTGCAGGTCTGTTTTTAAGGGGTGAGATCGGAAAGCAATGCTTTGAGGTTTGTTTTACCCCTGGGTGTGTCACAGGGTTAACATCTCTCCCTGATAACACCTGTCTGAAATCTGAGTTTATCGCTCACTCCTTTTTTCACTCCAAGATTGTTCCCATGCTTGTCATCGGTTTCCTCCTGGACTAGTTCATTTCAACACTGGCACAATAATGAAACTTAAATTAGGCCATCTTCAATCCTGCAATGTCATGTCTAGAATAGTAATCAGTAAAGTATTTGTCTTTATTGTATCAGCCAGGATGCATCTCATTTAGACTAATAGATATTCACTGATGGATCATGTTTCTGATGACAGCAGACAGCTTGTTTACAGATCACACAGGTGAAAAGTTCAACAGAGAACACAGATTGTGTTATGTGAACATCTGCAGTTATATACAGCAAGGATGCAAAGGAAACATCCATGCAAGTCAATCCCAAAGTACGTTTATGGATCTCTCTCATCTTCAGTGATCTCATGAAAAAAGAAGTGACTGTATGTTGGAAAACACAATAAACATGCCAATTACCTGTTATAAAAATACAGAACGTTTTCTTAAATGTTTTTCATTCAGTTTGATTACCATGTGGTTTTCATTGCATTACAAACTCCTCCCTCATTAATCTTCCAAGAGTCATTTAAACAACATAAAAGAAAGAAAGGCTTCAGACAGTCATGTCTTGGTCTGAACAGAAACAGATGTACTGGGATAGTAATCAAGGCTATCCCATACAGCTGAACTGGAACTGTACCATCACATTTTTATGAATTTACTATGCAGTGTCATGCCTCGAGTTTTGTTTGTTTTTACTGTGTGCAAAACAAAACAACACTATTGTCATGACATTTTACACTTCTTTACTTGACCTGATGATCTCAACCTTCCAAATGTTGAGAAATTGCTATAATGAACACTTAGGTTGAATGTCTCTGCAGTGCAAACCCAAACAGCACAGCGGTGAAGACTTTCAGTTTGAGGTTTACAGGCCTACTATTATCCATTGCTCTTAAAGGAATATTCTGGGTTCAGTGCAAGTTAAGCTGAATCAGCAGCATTTATGGCATAATTTTGATAACCACAAAAAATAATTTGTTATTTTTTCCTCATTTTCTTTAAAAAAGATCCAGGCCTCATTGAGGCACTTACTATCAGTGTTTGGGGTAACACTTTACAAGTAACACGAGTTACGTAATCAGATTACGTTTTTAATGCATTACTTTTTAATTTACAAGAACATATATGAGTTACTTTTAAATAATACTTTAAATAAGTAACGCCAGTTACTTTGTTTTCCCATGAAATGACTAACATCTCTTCTGTACCCATGTTGAGAGAAATTGCGAGTAAGTGCAGAGGCGTTGTGTGCGCTGCGTAAACATGATGGTAACTGTAAATCTAGACTAAATATGAACATGCATTTACTCAACTCACCTGCACAAAAAGTTTCAGTATTCCTCAAAATGAAAAAAAGTGAAATGCAAACTCAGAATATGATGCAAACCTGCAATAATTGAATGTTAAATAATACAAATCTAAAAGGTTTGTTTGAGTTGTGCCCTCTACTGTACAGATGCGAATTTACATTTCCTTCAGCCTGAGGCTTATTCATTTCACTTTTGGTGTGAAAGGGCTTATACAATTGCCAAAAATATAACTTTTTTATATTAAAGGGGTCATATGATGCAATTTCCAATTTTCCTTTCTCTTTGGAGTGTTACAAGCTGTTTGTGCATAGATAAGTTAGCTTGGCATTGAAAATGGTCAACATGTGGCCTTCCAAAAGAGGCCACAACTAGAAATCAGTGGTTAAGTTGTATTTACAACACTGTTCCAGAACAGTTCAACCCAAATATTCAGATTCCGTCACACGCTTGAGGTATTCAGCCAATCACAACGCACTGGATAGCTGGCCAATCAGAGCACACCTCGCTTTTCAGAACGATGAGCTTTGTAAAAAATTACGCGTTTCAGAAAGGCGGGGCATAGAGGAGAAACAATAATGTACATTATGTGAAAAATAATGTTTTTTTTTACCTTAAACCGCATAAACACATTGCATTACATCAAATACACAACATAATGTTCTTTTTAGCAACGTCATATGACCCCTTTAAAAACAAACAATAAAGCCCAGTCCAGATTTAAGAAGTAACACAAAACTAACATAATGCATTACTTTCCATAAAAAGTAAAAGCAATGTAATTAGTTACCCTTTTAGGCAGTAATGCAATATTGTAATGCATTACTTTACTGTTTCAATAGTACGGCTATATAACAATGAAACAGAAATGCATATTAACATGATTTTGGTGTCATAAATTGCTTACATATCAAAGTCATATCCAGTTTTACACCTTTTTTGCCATGACAACAACATACAGTCTATGGTAAACACTGACATCTTGCAAAAATGTTGTTTTGAACAACCTTGGATCTCAAATAATATTTGAGTTTTAAGAGAATTAATGTGCTTTTATAAAAGTACAAGCTTCACATTACTGGTTTTTAACTCTCCAAACAAATTGTCTGTTCTCTTTCACTGTAAGTGCCTTGCCACAACTTAGATTCTTGTTTACTTTTATATATAAAGGAGGTACAAGTGGAAATTAAGTTTTGTGGTAATCAGTATTCAATAATCAATCAGTTTTTGTCGACTGAGCTCAATGTGTACCCAGAATATTCAGAATTATAAATAAATGCAAAAACATACAACTTGAAAACAACCTAAACATGATTCTGAAAGGAGTTGTGCATAAAACATGATGACAAATAAAACATTTGAAGACCAGATTTCTTTGAAGTGTAAGCACTAAACATGCACACTTGAAACAGACCCTAAAATGGTAGTGAAGGAGTAAACGCTTTCATTTGAAGACATTTGAACAATCGTGGAAAACCCCCCTGAAGAGGTGTATCTGCAGTACTTTAGTTTACTTC